CACGAGTGAATTTTGGCAGGAACAGCTACAAAAACAAGGGATCCGGGCCCATGTTTCAGCAGGCGAGGCACATTGGCAGTTAGGTAGGGTAGAGGCACATGGACGCATTGTGAAGGGAATGCTCACGCGCATGGACCAACAGGATCCGATCCGAACTCCGGCTGAATTTCGGCAGTGTTTGCGAATGGCTTTTCATGCAAAGAATAGTTTGAGTAGGGTAAAGGGCTTTACTCCTGAGCAGGCGGTTCTAGGGAAGATGTCCAGGCTACCGGCCTCTTTGGTTGGAGACGATAATGCCGCTGCACATACACTTGCCGAGAGTGCCACGTCAGAAGGTCTTTCATTCCGTCAGAGCCTCCAGCGAAGGGAACAGGCCAGGGTTGCATTTATTCAGGCCGATAATGACAGTAGCTATAGGAGGGCTATGTTAAGACGTTCTCGTCCTGGGAGCCAACACTTTGAAGCGGGCGACTGGGTTTTGTACTGGCGCAGGAGCAAAGCTGGAGGGAGGAATGAAAAAGGGCGATGGTTTGGTCCTGCTCAAGTTATTACAGGGGATGCTAAGGTAGTATGGCTACAGCATGTAGGTCAACTCATCAGGGCAGCGCCCGAACAAATTCGTCCTGCGTCCATGCGGGAATGGCGCGCGGTGCAGACTCAGGAATTGGGGCAGGGGCGTTCGAGTGTAGGACTTCCTCGCAGGGTGGTTGATGTTTGTAGGGATGGTTTATTGCCGAATAGGGATGAGATAGAGGTTCAAGGCGACGCACCTGTTGCAGCAAATCCTGAGGCACCTGAGTCCATGGCTGTTGATTCCGGAACCGGAGTAGGAGATGTTGACGTGGGTGAGGGTTTTGAAGTTTTAGGTTCACAGAATGAGGAGTCCCACCAGCCAGAAATGGAAGTGTCTCCAGCTGTCTCCGAAAATGCTCCCGTCCCGGCCGCAATGGAAGTAGACCCTATGGTAGTTCCTATTCCCGATGAGAGTGATGAGGACTTGTTGTTCGGCGATGACTGTTGCTTTTTTACCCATCCTGCGGAAGGGCAGGTGTGGGAACTGACTCTGCATGAGACGGCGGTCCCGGTTGCTGATCTTCCTTCGGAAAGCGAGGCTCTTCAGTACATCCTTCTTGCCTCCGATGAGAAGAAGAGGAGGGTGGAAGTTTACATGCGTGATCTCAGTAGGCAAGAGAGGGAGCTGTTTGACACAGCCAAAACGAAGGAAGTGAAGGCATGGATGGACCACAGAACGGTGCGAAGGGTAGCAGCAGGCACGTTGAGTGATAGTCAGCTCATGCACTGTCGATGGATCTTAACATGGAAGCCTCCGGAGCGTGAGGGTGGCCCTAAACGCGCTAAAGCCAGACTAGTAGTTTTGGGGTTCGAGGACCCTGACTTGCAGACTGTCCCCAATGATGCCCCTACTTTAGCTAAAGATGCCAGACAGCTTCTGTTGCAGAAGATCGTTTCTCAGCGGTGGAAGTTGATCAACTTCGACATCTCCACTGCCTTTCTACAAGGCAAAGGGGATGGACGGGCTTTGGGCATTCGCGCACCTCCAGAAATCAGGGCAGCTTTAGGGATGAGGGACAGGGATCAGTGTCTTCTTGAAGGGGGTGCGTATGGTAGGATAGATGCTCCGTTTCTTTGGTTTCAAACTCTAAAGGGAACCCTAGAAAAACTTGGTTTCGTCCAAAGCCCTTTCGATGCTTGCACGTTTTCGCTAGTGACACAAGATTCTTCAGGAAAAGCCCGGGTTCATGGGGTCCTAGGGGTACACGTGGATGATGGGATAGGTGGTGGCGATCGTTACTTCTCCAGTGTTATTGAAAGGTTACGGGGAATCTACAGTTTCGGGGCTTATGAAGAAATGGACTTCGTTTTCACAGGCATCCACTTCAAGCAGTGGGACGATGGGAGCGTGGAAATGGATCAGCATAAGTATGTGGAGCAGATTCAGCCTATCCATGTAGCGAGACTTCGGAGAGCTGATCCAGAGTCCGAGCTCACAGGCCCTGAAGTCAAGGAGCTTCGCAGGATCAATGGTAGCCTTCAGTATGCTGCTGTTCACACGCGGCCTGATCTAGCAGCTAAGGTGGGTTTTCTTCAGTCGGTTATTCCCAGGGCTAGGGTAAAGCATTAAAGCATCTACTGGAGGCTAACAGGATCTTGTTTGAGGCCAAATCCCATGCAGTTTCTATCATGATAGTGCCCATTGAGGAGTCGAATGTCACCTTTTGCACCTTTTCCGATGCCTCTTTCGCAACAAGCAGGGATCAGAACTCATACCAGGGATGTTTAGTGCTTGCCACTGACTGGCGAATGTTGGCAAATGAAAGGGCCGTGGTGATTCCGATGGCTTGGTCGAGCAAGAAAATCAACCGCGTAGTCAAGAGCACCCTTAGCGCTGAGGTAGTGTCACTCTGTGGGGCCATCGACCGAATGTCATGGATCCGGCTCTGTTGGGAGTGGTTCAAAGACCCCGGAGTTGATATCACTCGTCCCGACGAGATCTTGAAGCGAGCTCCGTGTGCCTCCTTAGTCACTGACTGTAAGAGCGCATATGATATTGCTACCAAGACAGCGGTACCCAGTTGCACGGAACTCCGCACTCAACTCGAATGTCTTCTTTTGCGAGAGCGCTTGCAAGAGAATTGCAAGATGCGTTGGATTCATTCCAAAGCCATGCTGGCGGATTGCCTTACGAAGACCATGGATAGTTCCCTTCTCCGTGAGTGTATTCGTTTAGGGGGTTATGCTCTATTTGATGAACAAAAGGTTCTTGAGGATAGGGCGGGGAAGCGGCAATCGCTGAAATGGCTACGGGATCAGAATTCCGCTCCTTCGGACAAGCCGTCTGAGTGAATGTTTTTACAACTCTAAAATTTTTTTACGAGTGTTAATCCGTCGGCCTCTAAGGTCCCTCTTTCACTCAGACGTCTCGCCAGGAAATCCGAACACCGATCTGCGCGGGCCCTCCAGCTCAAGGGGCGGGAGGGTCGTGGAGCTTGAGGCGAATCCGACAACAGGACAGGGTCCCGGCTACTAGGACAGGGGTCGTTAAAGCGAGGGCGCTAACACATCTTTCATCGAGCAGGGCTCGTTAACATTCTTTCCCTAGGCACGGGGTGTCTAGGAAGGGGTTCGTAGTCATCCGGCCAGTGTGGGTCTCTCCCGACAGGGGGCTGATTCACATGAGGGAGCCTAAACCCGAAAACCTAAACCCTACTCAGCATGAGACCAGGTGCAGGGGGCAAGCTCCCCGCTGGGCTCAGCGTTTGCCACGTGTCCTGAACGGTACCTGTTTTCTGCACGGGTTTAAGGCTTGTGGCTGTTGCCCTCTTTGACCCAAGTGGCGAATGCCCTGACTCTTGAAGTGTAATTCCGTACCCTATCTGATTCTGTGTACTGCCAGGTGTCGAGCTCTTAGTTTGTGGTGCATTCTGCTGCTTGGGGTCCAAGACCCAGCGTTTAGGCCGGCGCTGAAGGCGTGGAAGCCACACGCTGTACATGTGCAGGGGTCTGGGATTCAAAACAGCATTTGATCGTGGCTGTTGCGTTCAGGGTTTGAGTTGTGGGTTTGGGGTCTATGATTGGGAGCATGGTGCTTAGGGTTTAGGGTATGCGTTCTACGGCTTGGGGCTTAAAGCTGCTTGAATTTGGAGACAAGGTGCTATAGGCAAGAAGTCGGTTGTTGGCACTCGTCACTGTACCACCAAAGACCTCGTCCCGAAACTTTGCAGGGCTTTTAAGCATAGGGTCCTTTGCAAGGTTTAGGGTTTTAGGGCCATACCTTCCCCTGTGATGCTGCACGCCTTCAGCTTGTTGCAAATGACCTGGCGCCTCTAAACCCCAAAACCCCAAACCCCCTGATGAAAACCCCAAAACCACTATGAACCCAACACTGAGCCACTGAGCCCTGCGCAAGCATGAGGTCGAGCTCCTTTGCCCACACGGCCGTGTGCTGTCGAATCACAAAACTGGCGCTGAAAGGGGCAGTCGCGCGGAGCGTCCAGGTTGCGTTGTGCGGGAAGAAAGCATGAAGGCGATTCTTCGGGCTGCTATCCATGATGCCACCGAAGGCCTGGATCAAAATTCGGCTGTTGCTCCATGAGTTCTTCCCTGAATGCACAAGCCAGCTAGCTTCAGACACTATGGACAGTAAACCATCATCGACTTGGGTTGCAAGGCAAAGAACTAGCATGGCGACATTGCCGTCAATGCTGGCGGCCACGGCTGAATGAAAGCCTGGGCTGTAGGCTGATACCGAAAACTGTCTATGACTCGACTCTTATCTTCAAGAAGAGCGAAAATTCAACAATCCTAAACCATCCTAAACCCAAACCCTGAAACGCTGAACTTGAACCCGAAAACAACAACTTCCAGTCAAAACCCAAGTACGCATCATAAATGGACCAAGGCTGGGATTTGTCACGCTGAATTGTGACCAGACGTGCTCGGAGGCTTCCTCCTTCAAGAGCCAGACCTCTCTGGACTCGGACTGTGTAGCGGTCTGTCCTCCAGGGTCCACTCTCTTTGTGTTGTCCCTTTTGGGGATCTAACCGGGGCTGACGGATTCCCGGACAAAGCCTGCGTAAACCCAAGAAGATTGCGAGATGGCCCATATGTCCTCCGAAAACGAGGCAGCCGCCATCACTCTCCGACCAGACCATCGTGTGCCAATATCGTGGGCCTTCACCGGAAGTCTGGAAGCTCATGATGTGCTTAGGAGCGTAGGGCGAGATAATATCGCCTAAAGCTTACTCCACCAATTGCAATGATCGATGTCAGGCCAGAACGGCACGGCACATGAGCTATATATGAGCGAGTGTTTTTCGGGTAACAGACCGTACGGTGGAGGCTTCCTCTTGGAGGTACTTTAATGATTTAAAGTCAGGGGCTCACATCCGAAGCCTGGGCCAGGGACCGTTGGAGTGATGTCCGTCCAGGTACCCATGCTTGGGTCATATTCCCAGACGTCCTCCAATCCATTGCCACCTCACGAAGTCATGGCGATCTACGCAGAAAATCTACGGTGTTCCGAACACAGCTTATCCAAGGAGCTTTTACAGTCTTCAAACAGCCCTGACATACCTTACAGCTTCTCGCAGTTATGCCTCACACAAAGCTTGTGTAAGCGGTATACCCGCCTGGTGACTACCCTGCCAAGCCCCCCAAGTTTGGCGTTGAGGGTTTAAGCAGATCTCCTGCCTTCATCTCGTCCGCCGAACAGGAGAGTGGGCGTAGCAGTTTCGGCATTGCTGCGACACATGCGGGCGTCGGACCGCGGCGGGGGGAGGATGCCGGCGGAGAGATTTGTCCATGTTCCTGTTACCTCCAAGACTGCAGAAAAAGCTACCGGGAATGACGAGGGAAGGGGCTTATAAACTTATAGGGATGTGTGTAGGTCATTGGGGATCCAAGCCTTCCTCACTACCAGCAAGGATAGAACAACTTTGACAGCGTAGTTTGGTTCTTTGGCCACGGCCTGCAACACACCCCTGGAGCAAGTAAGCCCAACCGCCTCAAATTGTACCCCTCACTAAGAGATCTCAAACAAAAAAGAACCCTGCAAGACTGTTGAAAATGGCCACACTGTCCAAGGGACTGCCAGGGCAGTCGTGGTGCTGGTTGTTGGAGTCGAGGTCGTCGTGACGTTGCTCAGACTTGTGGTGATGGCATTCGTGGTACTCGCGGTGGTACTGATGATGGTGCTGTTCGGCGGTGACGTGGTTGTTGGAGTCGAGGTCGTCGTGACGTTGCTCAGACTTGTGGTGCTGGCATTCGTGGTACTCGCGGTGGTACTGATGATGGTGCTGTTCGGCGGTGACGTGGCTGCTGGAGCCGAGGTCGTCGTGACATTGCTCAGGCTTGTGGTGCTGGCATTCGAGCTCGTGGTACTTACGGTGGTACTGGTGGTGGTGGTGGCCGGCGGCAAGGTGAAGACGGACAACCTTACTGGTGCTTGCTTAGTCGGGAAGTAAGCAAAGGATTATATAGGGATGTAGGGACTACTGGAGCGGTCCATTCCTCCACTCCTTATGAATCGCCGGTAAGAAACGTCGTTGTGGTTGTTGTCGTTGGCAAGCTGAGTGCAGCTGCCTGCAGTTTTGGATTGCCAAGGCCGCTATCAGGTGATTCAGTGATGCGGCATGATCCCGCGTGACCACGTGTGCATACCCCAGCATACCAAGATCCTTACTATAGACACCTGCAAGAGATTAGCACTATTTGTTGGACGCTCCCACGTCTTGTCCCGAGGCTGAGTGTGGTTATCGCACCTTAACCCCGACCCGGAACCCTGAACCCAAACCCTAAGCAACCAACGGACCACCATGTTTGAGCTCGGTCGGACGTTCATCTCTGGGTTCTCGCAATAAGGAGGGGGCTGTGTTATCTTCGAGCCCTTGAGGACATCCGACCCGTTGCTTGGCACACTTAGGCCTTGGTAAGAACTGGGGGTCCATTGTGGTTCTCCCAGCCACCTGTGAACAGATGAGAGCCACGCAGGAGAATACCAAATAGATAAGGGTCGAAGGTCCTACAGGTAGTGCCCAAGGAGGACTCAGTCTCAGTCTCCCGCCTCGTAAGACCAGAACGTCTTGGAGGACTCTTTGAACTGAGCCAAGTACATCCGTCTTTCGAACGAATCCCACACAGCAACGTCGTCTCTGTCTTGCTCTGGTTGTGGGTTCGTCGCATTCTCGAGCCATACACCATCCCCATCATCTGGAATCCAATACCTCATGTGTTCTAAGCTCAAGGCTGCCTACTTGGGTAGTCATGAGGAGAGAATTATGCATACGGCTGAAGTTATTACCGTCTCGGGTACCTGAGACAGCTGCAACCCACCAGCCCCCCTTTGCATGAAACTCTAAGAGGTCAGATCCGATCCAGATACCACGTCGCCACTGAGGGAGAGCCAGGATCTGGAACATAGCCGCCGAATGCCTGACTGCGCGAATAACTCCCGCAAGCTTCAAGGGCTACCACTATCCATCCGGGAGCCGGTGGTTAGGCTCTGGGGTGTAGTGTTGTTTAGGGTTTAAGGCTTAGGCACCCCAAACCCTGATTCCAAAAGCCGTGCTTTTCCGGAGATGGGGCAAATTCTGAACATCTCCGCACATGATCCCTGGAAGGACCCCACATCCTTCTCTAAACCATTGAAAAACCCTCGCGGTCTAAGGACGATCATCGCAGCACCGGTCCAGACAGCTACGTGCAGCCATCTTTCCGGAGGGGCCCCGGTGACCTCAGTCCACGGGAGCTATCACCGTATGCAGGATGCAAAAGAATCTTTCTGGTAAAAGAAATAAACCAAAACCATCAAGGAGTCTACAGCTCAATCCTAAGCTTCAGACCCCAAGCCCTAGACCCTTCATCTAGTTATAGGAGCAAACACAGACCATCCAACTCCTCACTCATAAGCCCTGAACCCTAAACCCCAAGCACTCAACCCCAGACCCTAAGCCCCGAACCCGAAGCCGTAAGCCCTAAACC